CTGGGGGGTCCGCGCACCCCTCTCCTGGCTAACGCGGGCGGGGGGGCTGCGTGGGGCGTTCCGAGGGTCTCAGCTCCCCTCTCTGTGTCTGCCTCTCGCCCAGCGCTGAGAGAAGCAGCAACAAGTTTTGCATTTCAGCAATCAATTTCAGCCATTACATTTGCACCAATCAGCACAGCCCGAGCTGGGTCCGGGGCGGGGCTCGCTGTTAAGGTGGTCCTGGGTACTGGCTGCCGAGGCCCCCCTACGAACCCGCACTTCGCCAACTCCCTGGTCCCCCGCTCCGGTCTCGCCCGGGGGTCCGGCGCCAGTGCGCTCGGGGCGCGCGCCCTGGCCTCCCAGCGCATCGGGGGGGAGAGGGCGCAGGCTTAGAATGGCGGGAGCTTGGCTTTGTTCACCCCCTTCCTACTCACACAGTTACCAACTCCCCACCCCCAACTGAAGCGAGACCTGCGGGGTGGGCAGGGGGCGGGGAGGTGGGTGGTAAGCGGTGCGGGGCGCTCAGACAATGGGGTCTCCAGGCACAGCGCTTGGACTCGCCGGGAAAGTCGCTAAGTATCGCCTGTGCTTCCACCCGAGGCGAACCCTCGGCTCTCAACCGCAGTCGGCTCACCAGTGGCGCCCAACTTAACCGGTCCTCGGATTTTCCGGGAGCTGAAAGCAGACCGGGAACCCCCGAAGTTAGGGTTCTCCTCCAGACACCCGCGCTCCTGCTCGCCCCTCCCTCGCCAGGGCATGCACAATTGTTCCCTTAACCCCACTGCCTGAGGTTCCCAGTCCTCAGTCGCTGGCTTCCACCAGGAGGAGCCATGACCACTCGGGCACTTTATTGGGGGTGGGGGGGGGCACTTCGGCTAAGTCCAGCGCAGAGCCGCGAGGAAGATAAGCGCGCCGAGGACGCAGGGGCCGGCGGGAGGACCCCGCTACTGGCACCCGGACCGAGGCCCAGGGGGCCCGAGGTTGGCCTCCTTAAGAGATCAATTAAACTGTAGAGGCCAAGGAATTGGGTTGTGATACTAAAATCAATAGGAGTAATTTAATATCTGCCCTGCTCTTTATGAAATATTTATCCCAATAATCTTAGTTAAAATGTTTAGATCTTCCTGATCCCCACTGAGGCTGAAATCTATCTTGCAGTTGGAGAGGTTGGAAGTTAGAGGTGATGGGGGGCAGAGGAGGTGTTTATTCTATGTGCCTGCCTGTGTGAGTATTTTCCTCCCTGAAGTGTGTGCAGGAAGGAAGGGGAGAAGGCCTTGAACGCTCCTGGCTATAAAATAGCACGAGGCAATTTTGTGAGCCGACCGGCGTTCTTAGGAGAAGGGGAGGAAGGAAAAAAAAAAAAAGAAACTTTCTTTGAAGTGCCCCTGATATCGCTATTAAATCTAAATAAAATTAAGCATGGTGTATAAAAATGCCTTTTCCCCCCACAAAGGAAAGTGTTTATCGCCTAAGTCTGTCTAGCGTTTGCTAAATTACGCATGAAATCTGAAATGAAATAAACGTTATAATAAAACCAACCCCTGAGCCCTTTTTATTTAAAAACCTCAGATTAAGCACTCCACCAACGCGGGAGGGAGTTAAAAAGTTACCACTCCGCGCAAGCGAATTCATGGCTCCCCAGAGTTGCTGCTGGGAAGACAGATGCTGGGTTTTCAGAAATGCCGGGGAAAGAGCTCAACTTAGGGTGAGAGGAGACGGGAATCTCAAGGAACTCCGGGAGGAAAATGACACCTCCCTACCGCCCTCCAAGAAGAATAAAAATAAAAGACAAACAATAAAAACCTGCAACTTTAAAACTCAGAGAGCTGAAGCCAGCTCGGATCCCAGGTCCTTCGTGGGACCTCCCGGCTGCGAACGTCCGACAGATATATATATATATATATTTTTTCCTTTTTGAAATTAAAAATGAAAATTACCCCCACCGAACATGCGGTCCATAAATAAGCATGGAGAAGAAGTATTTGTACAGGGCGGTGGAGTTTTAAAAGGATTTTTCTGCAGGATCAGGTTGTTGGTCTGTGATTAAATATTGATTTTGTGTAATTAGTTTTCATGTGAACTATCCTCTTGCTGATAGCTTAGAGGTTTCAGAACTAGAAAAGAAATGGAATTGGACATGGAAATTATTACTTAGCAAAGTGACAGGGAAGTGAGAGGCGGAGAAGAGAGTGAGGCTTGGCTGGTTTAGGCACAAAGAACTAAAGGGCCTGGCTAGGCCTCTGGTGGCACCTCCCCACCCACAGGGCCCCAGCCAGAACCTGGGGGGACCCTAAGCCTCTTGGGCTGGAAGGGGACCAGTAGGGGGACTGGCTGCCAGGAGGAGGACCCCTGTGTGGGCAAAGCCCCCATGACAGCTGGTCACATACCTGGTCCAGAGTGATTGGTTCTGGGTTGTGAGTGTGTCGCCGTATGTGTCCAGAGGGAACAGGGAATGTGGGGACCTGTCTGGAGCCCTGGGTGGGCCCGGGCAGCGGGAAGAATGGCCCACAGACCAGCAGTCTGGGGGGACCCCCCCCCCCCGTTGGGATGTGCTCTAGGCTGAGGCATGACTTCACAGGGCTCTGGGTGGGGGTCCCCTGAACACCTGCGCAGGTTTCCTGTGGAATAATTCCGAGCGCTCCCGAGAGGGGTGTGGGGGAGTTTTTCTCTGGGGCTGTTTCCAAGAGCTCAGTCTGCAAGGTGTGCGGATGTCTGAAAGCAGGGTGCATGCCTGCGGTTGGGCTCGGCTGTGTTTCTGTGCAGGCGGTGTGCCTGGGTCACCTCTCCTTCACGCTGCAAATGTCTTCGTGCGAGCGTGTGGCATGTGCCCGCGTTTGTGTCTTCGTCTGTGTGGGGAGGCAGGACCTCTGCATGTGTTTGTGTCTGTGCCTGTGTGCGCGTGCATTCCTGGGTCTCTGTGAGTGTCCCCAATCCCGAGCTTCTGTGTGTGTGCCTCTGTGTTCGTCCCTGTGTGTGCAGCTGCCTCATTCCTCGTGTGCCTGCATCTCTGCTCACGCGTCTGTTTTCTCTGCGAGGGTGAGAGCCAGTGCCACTGCCTGTGCCCATCTGTGCCCATGGACACGCCGGTGTGTGCGCCTCCTTGGTGTGGGCGCCCCTGCGTGTGCCTGTGTGTGCGCGCCGCCTGCAAGGGCCTGCGGTTTCTTTGGAACAGACACATTGCCCCCTAGCGCTCAGACGAATTCACGTTCCTGCTGCCGGCCCAGAGCCCAGAGCCCAGAGCAGCAGGAGCCTGGGGCCTTTCTCCCCTCCCTTCCCCTTCCTTCAGCCTCCCCTCCAGTCCGAGGGGGGAAGGAGACACAGCTGGGCTGGGGACCCAGAGCTGAAGAAGGATGCTCCCAGGGGCTGAGATCCTGCACACCTGGACCAGCCCAGGAGCTCCCGTCCAAAAGGGGACCCCCACTACTGAGCCCCCACTCAACAGAAACACAAAATAACCGACATTCACATCGTTTACCCACCAGACACACAGCCTTCATGCTGGCCCACCAGGCCCCCAACACCAGCACACACACATACACACAGCTAACACCTATGCCCTGTAGAGCTTGGACATGTGAAGAATCGCAGCAGGCAGAGTTCCCTAGGAGGCCTGGAGGGGAACCTACTTCCCCTGAGGCCGGGGGTCGAGGGGCTCAGAAAGACTCCCTCTCTTGAACGAGTGGTGGGAAGGATATAAACTCTGGCATCACATACCCAGATTCAAATCTTGTCTTCACCACTTACGATCTGGCGTGACCCCGGACGAAATCCTTTCTTCCTCTGAGCCTCAGTTTCCCCCGTTGGAAAGGAAAGTCACAGATTGGACTTTTTTTTTTTTTAAGGAGGGAATGATGATTTTTATTTTTTTAAATATATTTTATTGATTTTTATTTTATTTTTTTACAGAGAGGAAGGGAGAGGGATAGAGAGTCAGAAACATCGATGAGAGAGAAACATCGATCAGCTGCCTCCTGCACACTCCCTACTGGGAATGTGCCCGCAACCAAGGTACATGCCCTTGGCCGGAATCGAACCTGGACCCTTGAGTCCGCAGGCTGACGCTCTATCCATTGAGCCAAACCCGTTAGGGCGGGGATTGGACATTTAAAGGTGGCACAGATCGTGGCAGATGGCAGGCATTCGTTAAATGGTAGCCTCTCTTCTTACCATTATCATTATTATTATTTCTTCTGTGTTGGGACTCAGGGACGTGGAGAGAGGAACAATGAATGACCCCAGAGAAATCAGGTTTACGTGGCAGACCAGCCTGGCCTCCCCAGCCGCCCTGTGAGAGAAAGGATGGCTCTCTCAGGCGGTCCCCTCCGCCTCTCCCACCCCACACTGTGCTGGTGTCAAGGGGTGCGGTTGGCATCTGTCCAGGGAGCACCCAGGGCTGACGCCTCCGGGGAAGGCCCAGCTACTGCTGGGACGAAGGATAGTAACCCCCTTGAGGGTTGGAAAGGAGGAGACCCTCGTAGCTGCCAGTTGCTAAGCAACAGCATCCCCTCCCTCTCTCTATGCATGATGCCTGATTATCTTTTGGGGTCTCTCTTCCATCTGTCCATTGAATAAATACACATTGAGTGCCTACTGTGGGCCAGGGCTCAGGCTGGGAAGTCAGGAAAAAAAAAAAGTGGAAGATTGATTCCAGCCCTCAGTCTGGAAAACCTAGTATTGGATGCTAACAGGACTACATTATATACTATAGGGATAAAATAACTGTGCTGAGAGGGGGCAATAATAGGGGTTTCCAGAGGTGGGTTTTGTAGGTGGAATAGGAGTTTAATAACCAGAACAGGGTCAAAGGACTTCCCAGGCAGAGGAATCAGGTTGAATGAGATATGGGAAGGTTCTAGCAGCCGTATTTTTTTTTTTTTTAGAGGAAGACACGGGAGGGGCAGGGTCTGAAGCTCAAGAGGTCAGCAGGACCCAACTCGGGAGGACCACAAGGGCAGGTGGGAATGCTTGGACATTTTTCTGGGGAGCCATGAAAGGGTTTCAAGCAAAGCCAAGGAACATAGTCAGAGGTGAGTTTAAAGAGTTCTTTGGAGACCGAAGGGTCTCCCTTTTCTTTGTCTTTCAAGGTGGCCCCAGAAGCCATCTTCACTGTGGTTTTTTTTCTGGAAACAGAGTCCTGAGTTTGTCCCCAAGCAGCCAGCACAGAGCAAGGCAGGACGCACTGGCTCTCGCACTCGGGGCTGTTAGCACAGAAAGGCCCCTCCTGCCTCAGTGAACACAGATGCTACTCCCTTTGGGCAGGACTTCTCCCCTGTCCCTCAGCCGGGCGAGGGAGGCCAAGAGGCATTGACGAGAGAGCTAGATGTCTTCGGTTCTGAGCCCGGTTCCACCCTCCCCGGACCACACACCCTGAGCAAGACCTCGACTGGAGCTTCAGTCCCTGGATCTACAGCAGCGGTTCTCAACCTGTGGGTCGCGACCCCTTTGGGGGTCGAACGACCCTTTCACAGGCGTCGCCTCAGACCATCGGAAAACACATAGATAATTACATACTGTTTTTGTGATTCGTCACTATGCTTTCATGATGTTCAATTTGTAACAATGGAAATACATCCTGCATATCAGATATTGACATGACGATTCATAACAGTAGCAACATTACAGTGATGAAGTAGCAATGAAAATAATTTTATGGTCGGGGGTCACCACAACATGAGGAACTGTATTAAAGGGTCGCGGCATTAGGAAGGTTGAGAACCACTGCTCTACAGGAACACCTGTCTCCAGTGGTATCAGGGAGGCTACAAGTGTGGGATAGCACACAGCCCACAGTATATAACAGATGTAACATTTCATATATATTATGTTATATTACATTATATTACATTACTGCCCTGTGAGGTAGCTGCTGTTGTTCCCTCCAGTGGTGTCAGGGAGGCTACAAGTGTGGGAGAGCACCCAGCCCACAGTATATAACAGATGTAACATTTCATACATATTATGTTATATTTATTACATTACTGCCCTGTGAGGTAGCTGCTGTTGTTCTCTTTTTCTCCCATTTTATAAAGGAGGAAACTTAAGCACAGAGAGGTGAGGGATTCGCCCCAGGTCACCCAGCAAGTGAGAGGCAGGACCGGACTCACATCAGGCCTGGCTTGACCCCACCATCTGCCCACATACCAGCCCACAATCTGTGCAGCTTTTGCCTGGGTCTGAGCCCCAGACAGGGGTTTGGGGGAGGGGCGTGGGCACCCCCTCCCTCCAGCCCCTGAAGACTCCCACTCTGGGGAGGGATCCTCTCTTTCTCTGCCCCTTTCTGCACACCTCCCTGCCCACTTCCCAGAGGCCTCCGGGGCCTGACCACAGGGCTTCAATATGAGGGAGCCCCCTGAATGCCCCTTGAATGATACCTGGACCAGGAAGTGGCTGTTTCCCAGCTCACCTGGCCAGGCCAGGCTGCCTGCACGGCCACCATAAGGTATTTCAGCTTCCCAGGGGCCCAGACACACAGGGGCCAGGACTCACTGCTTCCAGCATCAAGCTCTCCTGGGTACACTCCTTTCTCGGGCGGGAGTCTAGCTCAGAGCCAGCACCAACACGCTTCGCTGTGACCTGGGGGACGAGAAACTGGACCATGGCTTGGAAGTGTCAATAACAACACTGGTCAGAATGGGCCCTTCGCTGAGCACAGAAACACCCTTACACCTCATTTGATCTTGGAAGCCATCCCTGGAGGTCGGCCTCCTCTATCCCTAGGAACTTGCTGGAGGTCCACAGAGCGCATACAGGGCAGGGCCCGTCTCAAACTGGGGTCCGCGGGACCCTGAAGGCACTCGGCCAACCCCTCCATCCACCAGGCTTCCTCTTCCCCAGACGGCATCAGCTATGAGCTTCTATTTTCCATTTTCTAAGTGGAGTGCGCCGAACCCAGGCCCCGGTCCCAAAATAACTCAAACCAGCTCCACGGCTGGAACCGAGGCCTCGGCGACTCCGCGGCCCAGTCCAGCCTCCACTTGAAAAAGTTCCCAATCAGCAACAAACACCAGGCATCACACATAAGGCGCCCCGCGCCCCACAGTGAGTCAGAAAACGCGCAAGTTCGTCATTATTCCACAAACCTGTTCAGCATGATCCCACCCCCACCCCTTCCTTTTCTCTCCCTGCAGCAACCAGCCACGCGGGCTCATTACCATCAAGAATCTGGCTGGAAAGCCAGCCTCGTAAACAGAACTAAACAAGCATATAGGATGGGAAAACTCGGGCCCGGCCTGTCCCTAGCCACAGCCTTTCAAATCCATCCTCCGTTATTCCCCCATCCCCACCCATCCCCTGCTAGGAAAGGCTGTGGTAGGTTGGGGGTGGGAGGGATTGGGAGAATCGCCCCCCAAAGCAAGGGGAAGGTCACCCAGACTTGGCCCCTCGATGCCCAGAGCCGAGGACCTGTCTCCCGGAAAGGAACCCCAAGTGCGGCTGGAATCTGAAGCCACGCTCTGTGTCTGAGAAGCAGCGGCAGCTACAGGGGTGGCCAGGTACGCCCTGGCTGCCAGGGGTTGCCGGGTTCATCCCCGTTTGCTCAGAACTGTCCTGTTCCCCTTTGCTGTGCATCACAGAGGTTCGGGCTCAAGTGACTCAAAGCATCACCCAGATCTAAGCTCCCTGAACAGGCCATTCCCCTCTCTGTGCCTCAGTTTCCCCGTCTGTAGAAGGGCATTTGTGAGGAAGGAAGGCTCATCCCATGTCGCAGTCTGGCACCTTCCCTCGGAGGGCCATTGGAGGGGCTATACGCTTCCTCTATAGGCTGCCTGGGTGTGGGGGCCCTGTGGGCAATGGGGGTGAGAGAGGGATGCTCTGGCAGCTCACAACAGGAGGGAAGTGGTCTCCGGTGTTGAGCCCTCCCCATGTGCCAGCCTCGGTGCCGAGTCCTCTCCAGGGAGTGTGTGTCATTCTCACACCAACCCTACGGCGGGGTTCCGCATGCGCCCATTTCACAGAAGGGAACTTAGAGGCAGGAACACTGCTTTGGGAAAGAACGTGAGGAGAGCGCCTTCAAAATAAGAGCCTGCACCTGGTCACCCAAAGGACAAAGGCAGGAAAGACACTGAACTCCCCAGGGAAGACTCAGTGGGATCCCCACCCGACTCCCTGCTACCTAGGCTGTGAAGTGGACGAGGGACTGGTGGGCTGTGAGGGCCTTGCCCACCCCGAGGAGGACACAGAGCCCAGAGGGAGGAAGCTCCGTGCTCATTGGAGTCAGCTCCTGGGAACAGTTCACGAACGATCGCTGTTTGGCCCGAGACAAAAGTACCGGCAGCTCTTCCTCCGAACGCTGTCTTCTGTGTAACAGGAAGACGAGGACCGACTAGCGGTGACTAGGGTCGGCCTCAACTCGGCCACTCCGGGTCGGCGCTCTATCTTTCCGAGCCTCAGTTTCCCCATCTGCCGAATGGGGAGAATGACGGTGCCTAGGGTTGTCAGGCGGGTGAGCTGGGCACAGAGCACTTAGCACATAGTTAACACTCAATAAATGGCAGTGCTACTACATGGAGCGAGGCCCCTGCAGGGCGGGCCAGGCGCCCACAGGGCAGCCCTGAGAATTGATGAGGTGCCTGCATCACACGTTTGCTCCCTCTCAGACCCTGGCTGTGCGGTCCCAGGCTCCCAGCTTCCATCCAGCGACCTTGCAACACCAACACGCTGCCAGGTCTGAGGCGCGCAGACGGCCCCACCCAGGCTCTTTGGGCCGGGCCCAGCTGTGCAGGGCCCACCCTCCCCAGCTGAGGCCCAGCCGCCTCTGACTTTTGCCACTGGGCCACCTGGTGAGCTCCGGGCCGGCTCCAGGCGCCAGCTGCCCCCACCTCTGGCTCGGATGAGCTCATCTGGGTTTGGTAACTTCCAAAGCAGCCAGGAATGTTTGCTCAAATGTTCCAGGCGCAGGGAGCAGAGAGAGCAAGCGGGTGCCCTCCGCCCCCCTTGCGCATGCAGAAAGCAATCTGCTATAACTCAGACAGGCTGGCTTCACCGGCCTGCGAGATGGATGTGGCGTTTTGGAATCTATATCACCCCAAAGGAAAATGCCTCTTAAATCACGGGGAGCCGGGAGAGAGCCGGGGCAGGAGGTGCAGGGGCCTGGTGACGCTTCAAAGGCAGGGCCCTAAGGGGGGGACCACCCCCGGGCATGGGACCTCCCCCTGCCATGGGTGCCATGGCTTCCCTTCTTTGGGGAAAGCCTCAGGCGGGAGGAGAGAGAGATGGAGGTGCCTGTCCGGCTTGGACACTCAGCGGGGTGCATGCATGTGCTCACGCGCCCGTGCGTACACACTCACATGCATGCGCGTGCACACGCTAATCCTGTCCATCCCCAGGTTCTGTTGAAACCTCTCCCAGCTCCATCCCTTCCCTGCTTCTGGCCACCACCCTCCCCACCTGGACAGCTGCCAGGATCTACATCTGATCAAATCAAGTCGCACGTGTCCCTGCTCCCGCCCACCCACCCCACCCCCATCCTTAAAGGAGGTCAGTGGAGCTCATGGTTTGGAATAAAGATGAAATGGCTCACCACCGCCTGGGAGGCCCTCCATGCCCAGCCCCGGAGACTTCGCTATGCTCACCCTGTTCTCCCCAGCCAGGCCGCCCTCTGGCCTTCCTTCTTCACGGGGCTTTAGGGCTCCTTCCTGTCCACGCCCCTTGGCTCAGGTAATGCATAGCCATCCCGCACCTCAGGGCCACATCCTCCGAGGAGTCCTCCCCCGCGACTCCTGCCGCACTGGGATGCCCTCCTGGCCCGAGGCCTGGGCATTATCTCGTGGGCTCCTTTCATGAATCTCTGCCCACCCCGCCCAGGAGTGGGCGCCAGGTACGCAGGGGCCCCAGACAGACCCTGGTTTCCTATTTGGAGGGCTGGACGGGAAGGCTGGCTCTCACTCTCGTTGGCATAAAGGAAGGTCATGTATGTGTCCGGGGTGCACTGGCTGGCACGGAGGCAGGAAGAGGTAGAGGAGAGGTGAGGAGGAAGGGTATTGGGGGAAGAGGGACAGGAAGGTGTAAGCCCCGCCCGGCCCCAGACACTCCAGCATCAGCATTCAAGAGACCCACTGTCTGAACTAAAGAGAACGTCTTTCCATGCCCAGGACTTCCTCCCCGTGAGAGGGCCAGTCACAGCCCTAACAACACATGGAGACCACCACCCCCTCCCGCCAAACCAGACATCCCTGGCACCATGCAAACTGGGTTCGAGTGAGCCCACGCCGTTGGGGAAACTGAGGCTGAGAGCAGGAAGGAGATGGGTTAGGACTTCTGCAAAAGACAGTTGACTTCAACGGACTTTAATTGAGTACCTACTATGTGCTGGGCACGAGGCATTTGATGGATTGAAACAGATGTGGTCCCAGCCTGCAGGGCACCAGAGGGAGATGGGTATTCATGCAACAGTTATAGGAACAGCATAGGATTACAGAGAGATCGGGACCCCTCGGAAAGGGAAGAAGACAGCAAGAGCCTGCAACCAAAGACTTGGACTAAAACTGGGTGAACAAACAGAAGGGAGCTAGGTGCCTTGTTTTGTTTTTTAAATAGAGAAACAGCGCCCGGTCAGCGTAGCTCAGTGGTTGAGCATCAACCTAGAAACCAGTACGTCAAGGTTTGATCCCCAGTCAGGGCACATGCCCGGGTTGCAGGCTCAATTCCCCCGTAGGGGCGTGCAGGAGGCAGCCAAGCAAAGATTCTCTTTCATCATTGATGTTTCTCTCTCTCCCTCTCTCTCTGAAATCAATGAAAACATATTAAATAAATAAATAGAGAACCAGTGTTCCAGGCAGAGGGGATGGCATATGCAAAGGCCCTGGGGCAGGAGGCAGCATGGAAAGTCCAAGAAATGAGGAAAACCCAAGAGGTCAGAGGTGGTGGCAGGGGCCATGCCTGAAGGACATGTTGGTGAAAGGACGCAGTGGAAGATTAAGGGACCATGCTATTCATTCATTTAACAAATCGGTAGGCATTTAGCATCTCCTGTGGGCCCCTCTTTGCACAGCAGTTTTAGGCTCTAGAGACACAACACGGAATGGAACTGACAGGGCCCCACCCCTCACAGAGCTGACCATCTTGAGATCAGATTTATGAAACTACATAAACCCTTCTTTCCCTCCCTCCCCCTTCCTCCTTTCTCTCCTCCCTCCCTCCTCCCTTCCTTCTTCTAAACCTAAGCCACTCTCTCCCACCCGTCTCAATGCTCATTCTTACATCATGTCTCCAACTGGAAAAACATCATCTTGAAGCGGCTGAAACCGGATGGGGTAGCGACCCCAGGGGCTGCCGTGACAGAGTACCACAAACCAGGCAGTTTAAAGCGACAGACATGCGTTCTCCCACAGTTTGGGGGGACGGAGGTCCCAAATCAAGGTGTTGGCGGGACTGTGCTCTCGCCAAAGGCTCTAGGGGAGGGTCCTCCCTGGCCTCTTCCAGCTTCCAGGGAGCTAGCTCCCAGCAGTCCTCGGCTTTCCTGGACTCGTAGACACATCACTCCAACCTCTGCCTCTGTTTTCACACGGCATCTCTGTGCGTCTCTGTATTCAAACTTCCCTCTCCTTATAAGGACACCAGTCATGTCGGGTCGGTACAGCACACCATGAGGTGAGGTGTGT